TGACGGATGTTGGTAACTTAAAATGTGTGTTCCAGGACAAATAAAAGTGTGTCCACGTATAGGCAGAGAAAGCTGGGTAAGGAGTTTGATGATGCAAAGTTGGCAGTACAACTTAAAACAGAAGAGGCTGAGAGAAAAGGCAAGCAACTTAAGCATGCAGTTTATGCAGAAAATGGTGAACTTTTTGGTAACATATACTATTGTTTTGTGAATTGCGTTATCATCATCATGTACTTACGTAACTTTTCTCTAATTTGAATTCAGACAAACTGGAGGAAACTTTAAGGTAACACGAAAAGCAAATTTTGATAAGTTATGTACAGCCTATTAGAAACTAAGATTGTGCAAACTGAGGCCAAATTGTTTTATATTGAAGATTTCCGTCTTCTGGGTTGTTGCGCAGTGTAGTCTGGTCGATGTTAACCAACGTTTCAGAGGTCATACTGCCTCCGTCATCAGAGTATGAAGATTTCCGTCTTCTGGGTCGTTGCGCTGTGTAGTCTGGTCGATGTTAACCAACGTTTCAGAGGTCATACTGCCTCCGTCATCAGAGTATGAAGATTTCCGTCTTCTGGGTCGTTGCGCTGTGTAGTCTGGTCGATGTTAACCAACAACCTCAAATCTTACATTGTTTTATATTATTTTTAAAGAGTACGTGAAATACACGTAGTACAGGCAGAAGCACCAAGAGAACCAGACAGAAAAATTTCTGAGATGGAAGCTTTTCTGCGAGCAGTTCCAACAAACACTGCCGAATACAAAGCCAACAAAAAGCTGCAGAGACTGATGAAAAGATACCTGCAGAGAAAGGAAAGACAAGAACAATGGCAGCTCCAGGTACACAAATTTGAGTTGTTGTTGGTAATGAACATATGTTTAACAAGAACTTATTCATGCGATAAAAACCACTGTTTCAACAGTAATCCTTGCCTCTTCATTTTTAAAAGCTCCAAGTATACTACAGTGTTACCTAGAAGCAGTACAATTTTGCAATGACACAGTTGCAGCCAATAACTATTCTGACCTGAAGACAGAGATAGAGTCCCATCTCCGAAATGTCGTTTTACGTTTTATATTTACTAGACGATGGATAATATCCAAGGAAATTTTTATTCAATAACTATTCTGTTAATTATGACATTGGTCATGGAAGATCCTATATGAAAGAGTTAGTTAACTAATTCTAAGTAGCAATCTTCTGGCTGTTTTGATTTTTAAAGTTTAATAATTAATATTTTCCGTCAAATATAACCAAAACATGTCGTAAGAGACGTTCCAATTTGTAAATCGATCATTCGATGCGGAACGTGAAATGATATTTTAAATATTTTATATTTTATTATCTTATTAAAATTGTGATTTGACGGAAAATATTAAAATACTAACCTAATTCACAATATGACGCAAATATACTACCTTTAATAACTAAATTAAATAAATAATTTCATAGTATCTTACAGTGGGATTTGCTTCTCAAAGAGAAGCCAGATGAAACAAAGAACCATCCAGATAATACAGCAGCTATTAAAGAGGCACAATTAACTATTGGAGATTATAAGCTGAAGTCAGCGGCAAACTTCATAGTGCCCAAACATTTACGCATGTCAGCAGTCAAGAAATACGACCAACTTCTTGAAGCAAGGAAAAGAGTAAGTTTATTTTTAAGGAAGTATTTATAGCTGGAAGTGTTTGTTTTACAGACAGACAATTATTATTTCTGTTATTTTGGTAGGTAATTTTCACATTATTATTAAAAATATTAACATGCAAGTAAATAAGCCTCCACATTCAGGACCATTTATAAGAATTCCATTGTTCCACACTCACACTTGGAAAGAGTAAATAGCGCAGGCATGTAAAGCCTTCACAATTTCTTCCTGAAAGTACTTGATTCTTTGGTGTATATTTAAAGTGATAACCTGAAAGTTCAAGTACAGCTTCTAACTTCCAACTCAGGATGGGCTTACCACCTTCAATATTCTGAATTTCAGATGAAAAGAAAGTAGTAATCTCTGTTGGTAACTTAGTATTTTCTTATTTCTATTTAAAAAAAATTCTGGTCTTGTTTTCATTTTTCTTTTGTACTGTCGAGTCGGAGCCGACCCCCTGGTGACATTATGAACAAGATCCCTCTGATAGGGACCTGTTCATATGTTTCCTAGGCAAATGATCCAGAAGTGGTTTGCCGTTGCCTCCTTCTGTGTGCTTAGTATCAAATGATGATGAAAATGGAGTAATTGTTGGGAAGCCCCCGGAAGAAAACTCCGTGATGCCTGGACCATGGCCTTGCCCAACACAAGTTATAAATCTGGGCACCACTGGGAATCGAACCCGGGACCCAAGGATTACAAACCCAGAGTTCTGACCGTGGTGGCGTGTTGTTTTCATATAATGTTGTAATTCTGTTGAATGTATTTCTGTAATATATATTCATTTCAGTTATTCTTGATGAAAGATAATTTCAACAGCAAGGTTTACGATCTTCGGAACAAGAAGATTGCTCTCGTACAGAGATTCACTGAACTCAATGCCACACTTAAGAATATCCATAGGGAACTGGACCCAACACAAAGGAAGTTTCTACCTGAAATTCCAAAATTTGATGAAAAACTTGAGTTTCCAGACAAGGGAATTAAGGTAGGTTGCTTTGTTTTATAGTGCTTAAGTCACAATGTTTAATCTATACATGACTATGAAATAAAAACAAAACCTTAAAATTAACTTTCATTTGACAGTGGTGTGTGCTTCACACTGGTGATAGCAGTATTCACCACATGAAGGTAATGGATAGATTTGGCAAGCTGCCCCTTACATATTGGAAGTATAGTAAGGGAGATATTATTATTATTATTAAGTGTTCTGTCTTACGACAGGTCCATTGCTCTGCCCAAAAAGAGCTCTCCAGTTGTCCTCATAATATGTCCCAGCCAGTTAGCTTTCCTTCGTGTAATCGCCTGCAGAATGTTTCTTCGCTCGTTGACTCTCCTCAATACTTCTTCGTTGGTCACTCGATCCGTCCACCTGATCTTCTCTATTCTTCTCCAACACCACATAACAGAAATTTGTCTACTTGAGTCTTAACAAAAGACACATGACTATAAAAAAAATAAGGATATCTCAATTTGTTCAACACCTGATATCACACAAAACAAATATACCGCCCTGTCCACCAAACAATACCGCTGCATTTACAACTCAAAGTGACTGACTTTTCTTGCCCCACAACAGTTTACAAACTATTTAAATTAAAAACACCAATCGTCTAACAAAAAAGTAAGTCTAATACACACAATATGAACCCAAACAACAACACAATTAGTTAAACACTCAAAAGTACTCCTTTCTTCATGACTATTTTATGTCAGGAAGAAATTCCTTTTATGCACCGAGACTAATTTTCTGAACAAATGCAACTCAGCAATTAAACGGCTATTATTTTATTTTACGCCATGATATATATTAATCTACAGGCTGCATCATATAATCTGATTAATCTCTTATTTTACTAGCTAACTGAAAAGGACATAGAAGCATTAATGCCACGAAAAACAGAGTATTTTGACTCTAATATTCCCACGACAAATCAAACTGCCAACGACAAAGAACCTGTGGATGAGGAGCATGAACTGCTGTGTTCAAATTGTCAAGAGACTGAGGAGGGAACACGGCAGCAAATTATTTCCAAGCCGTATTTTCCAAGAAGAAACAATATATCAACGGAACAACGAGAAGCATTGGTCATTGAGGATAACACCGATACAGTCTGGGAGACTGAAATGAGGGAACACAGGATGATGAGGTGGGCTTCTGTCCTGAAAGATTTGGTAGTTATTTGGCAACCAAAAGCATTCAGTACAGAACCTCAGGTTTTAATGGTGATGAGTTCGGTGGTCTTCTGGGGTGTTGTGCCGTCATACCTCAGATATGCATGAATTAAAATGAAAGTGAATACTTTGGCATGTAATAATGTATTTTATTAAATTAAACCTTGATTAATTAAAATTGTATAAATATGTTTCCATTTATCTGTTAGGAAACAATACGAGCAGGACCAGATCCTGAACGAGACAGAAATGAAAACTGAAGCTTTTGACAAAGAGATTGAAGAACTGTCACATCTGAAGCTAAGAGTCGATGTAGAAACACAGTTTCTTGAATTGCATTTACTCACCTTACATCAGGAACTTCTTATCCTCAAAGACTTTGAAAATATGGATGAAAAAGTGACAAATAAAGTGCTTGATTCACTAAAGGAAAAATATGAGATGGAAAGAAAGGTATGCAGATACGAATGGTAGCTCTGAGTATATTCAATAAGAAGTAGCGGCCCACTGACGGGGCTGGTCCTCCAGTTAGGGACTGGGTAGGGGACTAACAGCTCCTTTCTGTAAGAAAAGTAGCATGTTATAAGATGTTACATAGGGCTTGTGACTTGGACAGTGTTCCGCAGAGTATCTAGACAGAACTGAGCCATTTTATTTACTCAATTCAAAACAATGGCATTAACAATGATCTGTTTTATCTGGTTATAAGGGCTAGATGGTAACACATTTATCATTTGCTAAACAAATTCTTCATGCCTACAGGATAAAATGATTAATTGCCTTTACACCATAATTTTCTTATAGATTATCGACATGCAGAAACAAATTCAAATAAAACAAACAGAGATGAATGACCTGTTAAATGAAGAGAAGGAACTTGAAGATAAGTTTAATGCAGCAATAATGGACAGCAAATTTGCTGACTTTTTGAGAAAGATTTACAAGAAGAAGTGTAAACAACCAAAACTTCAAGATCCTGATGGCGAGTCAAGTTACTATACGTGATACTTCCTGTATTTCTACTCTGCGCAAAATAATTGTACAGATGGAATCCTGACACAGGCTAGAATTTTAATTTAGTGCATCCTAAGTTCGCTCATTCATTCTGACGTACTTAGCCGATCAGTCATAAGTACATAAAAGTATTATGAAGCCACAGTGCTGTGAAAAATTTATAAATGATTTCAAGAGTTCCATGTAGTACTGCTCCAACAGCAACTATTGTACAAAAATCTACCTTACATATATTCATTTTCGGAAACAGTAATAAATTGTATCTAAAAATTATCGTATAATTTATCTCTAAGTATGTACATTTCTAGAATTATTTCTACAATCTTTTTAAACAGTCTTGTAATATTTTAAGCGATTATTTTATGTGCCTCTTTTTCAAAAATATACATTTTATTTCAGATTTGCAATCAAGCAGCTCATCATCATCAGAATCAGATGATGCACCCAGCCTGAGGTCAGAAAAACTTGGCCTAATGAAATTTGATGAGAGTGCGTGCCCTGAAGGTTGCGAGCAAGATCTCTATGATTTAACTTTTGTGCTAAGATGCCAACGGTGAGCAGCTTGTATAAATTATAAGGAACACAAATATATAAAGTTTGTAACATGTGATCCAACTTGCATTACTACTGTTCATCCGAGTTATCTCAGGGCAGCTGGTTCTTGTCAAATGATGTCAGATTTCAGTTGGAATCCTTTCTTTAATATATGGGCTGTTTCATATTGGACCTTGTCCACAGTAAAGGATGTGAGATGACAAAGGGCTGCTTTTATTTCACGGACAATACCTTCTTTTGGTAGGTGTCTACATGCAAGAGCTGGATACATTCACAAGTATCTGATTCTCATCAAGCACAACTAACTAACCAGATGGCTTAGCGAACACAAAGGTTCATCACCGAATTAACCAAAGCCCTCCACCGGAACATGTCCTGGGCCAACAAAATCCAGTCTCCTTGAACTCCTATCTCCCATAGATCCCGCCTGAGATTATCCTCCCATCTACGTCTAGGTCTCCCCAGCAGTCTCTTCCCCTCAGGCTTCCCAAATAGTGGACCCAACCAACCAGATGGCTTACGGAATTCGAAGGTTCATCACCGAATTAACCAAAGCCCTCCACCGGACCCTGACCTGGGCCAACAAAATCCAGTCTCCTTCAACTCCTATCTCCCATAGATCCCGCCTGAGATTATCCTCCCATCTACGTCTAGGTCTCCCCAGCGGTCTCTTCCCTTCAGGCTTCCCGACCAGTACCCGGTGCATACCTCTTGTTCCATCCATGTGAGCCACATGGCCAGCCCACCTCATTCTTCTCGACTTAATCACCCTGACAATACTGGGGGAGGTTCATCATTATGCAGTTTTCTCCACGCCCCATCGTCTTCTCTCCTAGGCCCAAATATCCTATTCTCAAACACCTGCAATCTGTGTTCCTCCCTCAGAGTGAGAGACCATGTTTCGCACCCATACAAAACAACAGGCAAGATTATTGTTTTGTATATTTTAATTTTCAGGTTCTTAGAAATCAGAAGGGAAGACAAAATATTTTCAACTGAGAAGTAGCAAGCATTTCCGGAATTTAATCTCCTCCTAACTTCCTCATGAGTGTCATTTTGATTTGTTATTGTTGTTCCCAGATATTTGAAATTTGTAACACTTTCAAAGGATTTATTAGCCACCCTAAGATAATTCTTCACGCCTGTCTGCTGACGACGAGAATTTACTTCTAGCCCCACGAGTCTACTAGCCTCTAGTCAAGCACAACTAGGGTGGTTTTATTCCTTCATAGTTGATTAAATTCCTTGATTTGTTTTATGTCATTTAGAGAAATGTCCTTTGTTCTAGAGGCTTGTTGTGTTATGATTTGGTCAACTTCCTCTAGTCTGCATTGTTAGTTTGTGCTTAAAAAAGGTGGATGTTGTATATCGTCCATCTATTCTGTTACTTTTACTCATCCATGACACTCACCTTGAAGATGGCAACTGCAGTGGAAATATTTTGAGAAATACAGCAACTCAAACACAAAAGCTGTGTTCAGGAGACCTGAATATTGAAATGGTTCTGAAATGTTCTAGTCATGGATACGAACAAGACGTTACAAAAATAAGGAAAGAAATAGAAGAGGCCTTGAAGAAAGAAATGGAAGAGAATATGGAGAAGATGAAGGCTGTGGAAGCAGTTCTCGAAATTAACCAAGAAGAACGGGAGATTCTTCAGGTTCGTTTATAAACAATTTATAAATCTGTTATTTGCCAGCATGTATATTTCCTATGCACATAATATTACCTCCTTTATATCTTCTTGCTTCTACCTATTTTGGGCTTTCATTAAGGAGCAAACAGAGTGCTTTAGAGTAAGAAGCAGTTCAGTACAGAACTTATAAAGCCTACTTTCCTCGATGTGCTGAAACTGTTATATTCAGGTAATACAAGTTGGAGTATACTTCAATAACAAAATGCAGTTTAGCATACTGGACTTGAGCGAAGACGGTCACGGGTTTGAAACCCATGTCAGTAAATATTTTCATTGCTTGCAATTTCAATAACTGCCTTAACATAAGTTGAATATTCTTGAAAAATCTATCGTCATACTTTATTTCAATTGCCTAAGTACATGGGTCAGCCATATTGTTATTGCTGACTGTGGGAAATTAAAAATTATGAGGTTGTACAATGTTCATACAAGATTTCTTGAAAATTTGGCAACTGGTCTGAAAGTTTAAAAAAGACACGCAAAACTGAATGGTACTGTTAAAAGCCTAATTCTTTTTACTCTGTAAGAAACCACAGTATGCTAAAAATATTTTTATAAACTTGTTAATTAGCTAAATGTTAACTCTTAGCGTGCTGATAACAGATTACACTATGTACACAAAATATGAACAGGATTGTACAGAGTGTTCAATATTCAGTATAATATGACCTCTCAGCATAATGTGACATTTAGCTCTGTACACAACATAAAAATGTCTCTATTGGAACTCTGCTTGTGCACGTTACAGAGGGAAAAGCAACATAAACTAAATGAGGTAGAATGTGTGGTCATATTGAAACTCAGTCAGATGCAACACTTCAAGGAGGATACAGACACTTTGGAGAAAATTTCAAATACCCTAGTCTTCTCACAGGAAGCTCTACAGAAACTGTACTCTCGTGCGGAAGAACTCAAGAAGGAAACGCAAATACTGAAGGACAAAGAGAAGTAAGATATTTGCAGTTGTCAGCTGTTCATAAAAAAAGGTCAATTTTAACACATGAATCATCATAAGGGCTATAATCTTCTAGACATCTAGTTTAAGGACCGGCCAACATTTCACCCAACTCCGTGGAGCAATGTCTTTCTTGAGAAGTAAACAGTTGTCCAGCTGGCCAAGAAAATGCTCTGCCTTTTAAAGAATCTGACTTAACACCCTCTTACTTCAAGTTTCATTTTTAATATTATCCTCCCATCTATGCTTAGGTCTCTTCTCTGTAGGTTTTCTGACCTAACATTTTATTCAATAAAAAGGAATTTCAACTAAAATCATTTACTTTCCAGATGGCTATTAATTTTGTTCTTCCATTCATCTTTATGTTATTTAATGATGCCATTTCAACAGAGGATGCATAGTGGTGACTGGAATGAGAAAATGATCTTGAATGGTGAACAGGAAAAAATTATGTAGAAGACAGTAATGGAATATTTCAAAATACTATCCGGACATTCACCTGGAGAGACTGAGTAAAACCACAAGAATGTCAGAATTGGCAGTAACCAGGTTTCAGCTAAAACGCGGTACCTCCTGAATATAATTTTAGATTGCCATTTCTCTACTGTTATGCTTTTAAACTGAATAATATGAAAAATTGTACATCTGATGTATATTTAAGAATTTTAAACAAATAAATATGCTATGAAATGGTAGCACGGGTTCTGGGCACTGAAAGAAAAAACAATTTTGAGCGTTAACAACATAAAATTCCTATTTTAATGTATATAATTTTAGTTGACTTATTTTTAATTCTACACAAAATAATGTTATAAAAGTTTACTGCAGGCCAGTGGATCTAAAACTTCACAAAATACGTGAACAATGAGCAGAAATTCCAGTTTTGGTTTTGACAAAAATCTCTTCCCCTGTGCTAAGCCACGGTGTCTTCTGTTGGTCGTCACGTTGCAACTAAACTGCAGTTGACAGTAATGTGACTGAGGGACTTACGCAGAAGACAGTGTACTAACATGTTGAACCGTGCGGTTCACAGTGGGGGAAAAAAAATGGTACTGCATAACCACGCAGTGCATAGTAAAACCACCGTAAGATCCGACGCGAGTACAAGCTGGTAAATTGGCTTACCCTTATTAGAGATATTTCTGAAATTAGGATGTAGAATTCACAGCGCTCTGGCTTTGGAACTGTTTGTCATACAGTTCACGAGAAAACTATCCGTCTCGATGCCTTTTTCTGCAGAGGGGGAAAGAGCGAGAACAAATTTAAAAGAATATACAAATCTTTTGTGCAACGCGCACATTATATTCAGCTTCTCCCACATATTTATTTTCACTCTTATTACAGGAATGATCAAAAACATTTACACAGGACGAAGGTGGAGTGTCAACACATGGTGGGGATGATTCACAAACTGAAGGAGGATATAACCGAGTGCATGTTCAGGAAGTTTGGCGGAGAAATTGACCTTGATGAGTTGGAAGAGTCGGTCCTCAGGAGACTTCTGGCTGAAACTAAATGTTCAAGGAAAGACATAATAGCAGCATATGAGAGGAAGATATCTGCAATGCGGGTAGTTATGAACTGCAAATATTTTACACTTCACCATCACGCTACAATTATTAGCCTATAGGCATAAAACTCTACTTTGTCCACTCAGAATATATATATCAAAGTAATTAAAACTTTCAAAATAAATGCCTTCAATTTATTAGTAAGCAAATTACTTCTACTTTCATCCAGTGATTTTTTGTTAGCCGTGAAAAAAAGCTGGTACTATTCTAATGGGGCGTCATCAAAGTATGTTAAACAGTAGGATCTGAAGTTTTCACTGTGGAGAGAACAAAGATGGCTGTCTACACTCATTGCCCTGATGACGGAGGCCACAAGGACCTCTGATACACTGGTAAACGTCTACTAGGTTACATTTCACTACAACCCAGAAGAGCCATCTTCTGTGTCAAATAGAATTACCCATTATCTGACACAGTCACAGAGAATGTGACCTTAGAGACTTCTGACATTCCAAAGTTCCAAATTTCAAGACATAGCTAATATCTACGTAACAGTTTACGAAACACAGAAATGCAACAGTTGGTTTGAAATGGTGGAGTAAAAGTAATGTCCCCTAACTTCTGGATACGCAGATAAAAATTTCCAACATCTCCGCCACGATTGAAACCTGAACTCTGCATTTCCCTGCCTGCCGCTACCGACCGAACTATATTCACACATTTCAGGAACATGTTCCGCACCGATCATGTATTTAATTTTGGAGACACTTTTACCTCTATAATGCGAAGTTAAATGCATTTGAATTTGTCAAGTCATTCAAAGTACAAATATTCAAAACTTTACTCTCAAATTTACATCAGTCTGACAGGTGATACTCAACTGTTCCCTCTTTGATGTCTTTAGGAGAAACTTCGTGATAAGCAAGAAATCCTTTCTAGATCTATATGGGAAAATACAGAGAAGTTACATCTGCTGACCATCTTGGAAGACGAAAAGCGCCATTTGGAGAAGTTATCACAAAAACAGGCATTCAATCCAGTAAGTTCCTCAACAAAGTTCACAAGCAAATTTATTGTTTCATTGTTGCTAACAGCGTCCGCGTCACTTTCATCGCCGCTGTTATCGGAACTGACGAACCTCTTGCTGCCCGCATGTCACGTGCTCCAATTATCAAAGTATTTCTCTTCAACCTCCAGACATGATGACATCTACAGGACCATTCTTGCATTGTGATTGATGCATACATTTCCTTCAGAAGGTGTGTTGCGTCATCTGACGTAAATGTGGTGTTTTTCATCCTTAAGTAGCCCAAATCAGTCGTATTAGGTTCAAGTGTGGCTTGTAAGGTGGTAAGCAAAGGAGAAAGTGTCAGTGCCCAGTTAATTCCTGGATACTGGTGCCAGCAATCCTTGTCGACTGTCATCACTCCGACACTGTCTACACTGTTTTATCAGTGAGTACTTGTGGGTTATCGGGACACAAAACAGAGAGGCACGGCCCGACATCATCTGGATTCATATTTAGCTGAGTTCACGTGGCGGCGTACAAATGATAACGGCGATATTTTTAAAATGATTCTAAAATCTATAAGAATTTTGGCCTCCGGAGACAGGTTGTAACAACAATTAACATATCATACATTATTATTATTAAGTGTTCTGTCTTACGACAGGTCCATTGCTCTGCCCAAAAAGAGCTCTCCAGTTGTCCCTATTCTCGGCTTCTCGCTTTAATTCCTGGAACGTCATCTTCTTTCCTTGTTTAAGGTCGTCGGTTAGCTGTATCAATCTTCTTCCCAGTCCTCGCTTTCCTTCAACCTGGCCTTCGGTGATATCACTCAGTAATCCATTTCTTCTCATAATATGTCCCAGCCAGTTGGCTTTCCTTCGTGTAATCTTTGCTCGTTGACTCTCCTCAATACTTCTTCGTTGGTCACTCGATCCGTCCACCTGATCTTCTCTATTCTTCTCCAACACCACATTTCGAAACTCTCCAGGTATTTCTGTTCCTTCTTCTTGAGTGTCCAAGTCTCTGCTCCATACGTAACACTTCACTAGTTTCTTCTTCATCTCCAAGCCCAACTTGCTAGTGAGAAGTATCCTCTTCTTGACGAAAGCTGCCTTGGCCATGGCTATCCTTGCTTTTACTTCCTTGGTGCATAGGGCGTCCGTCGTGACTATGCTTCCCAAGTACTTGAAATTCTCCACATTCTCCATCTGTTGGTTTCCAATTACATTGAACGTTGTAATCTCATACATATCAAAATAAAATATAATAATTTGTCATTTATTGAAATAAAATATAATAACTTTCAATCATATGTCATTTATCCACATACATTAACCTAACCTAACCTAACCTAACTTAACCTAACCCATTTTTAAAGCGATGTGTGCCGATAACCCACAAGTACCCATCAGTGTATACAACTCGCTGGGCTGATCATCTGTTGAATCATTATGTACATTGCGTAGATACGCAATTCACAGACGACCTCCTAAAATCAACCATTAAAGTCAAAAAAATAAGATTTTAGGTTCTTATGGCGGTGAGTACGGTGATCGTCAAGGTCAGAGAAGCTATAGTAATAAGGCAAGTGTCCACCTAATACTGTGTGCAGTAAGATAGCGGAGGCAGGGACAGGACAGGAAACGCAGCTAGAACCGTAGATTAAACTGGAGTCACAGAATTTTGGCAGGGAAACCTGAAGATAATATTAAAATCAATCTTAGGATAATCAGTTAACAATAATTTTAACTGGCTCAGGATATGATCTGAGGTGATGATACAGAATTCTTTGAATAGCCGAACATCAAAGAGATGGGACTGGGAAATGAATTATCTTTAGTAAAACTTCTGGCCGGTTTTTACTAAACAGCTGCATAATCCAGAATGTTATGAACCGTAACCAAACTTTCAAACATGTGGCATAACGATTTACTTTTTCAGGAGCAAGCATCCGATAAAGACGACCCGTACACGTCTGATATCGAGAAGCTAATTCAAATTAAGGAACGTCAAGGTGCCAAAATCAGAGCCTTAAAAAATGAAATAAAAATGCTGAGTTTGAAAAGTAAACCAGTGCCACCTATCTTGGGACCTGCAATAACTGTCATCCCTGAAACAAAGCCTGAAGCGACATCGGAACATGGCTCTGGGGCCGTGCGAATGGGTTGAGGCACGTGCCACTCTACTGTACAAGATAACCCTTTCAGTTCAACTCTTCAAATGCCATACAATGTTTCGCTGTTGACTCATGTAAATGCATAATAATCACGTAACACGAATCCATACAATAGGGTAGAAGCACTGAAAAATTTCTGGAAACAGTGCTGGATTTATGTAAACTATTCCCAAGGTGGTGAGAGGGCAGTTGTTTCTGTGCCGATGCGTATTAGCATGTGTTGAGATCATGACATTAAAGTTTGCCAAGAACTGAATTAATGGTTCTAAGTGAGAACAGAGAAACTATACAAGCAGTTGTGTCACAAGAACTGGTGTGGCGGGCACGAAATGTTGAGTCCGACGCCTGTGACGTTGGCATATGTGCCCCTGTAAGAGGAAGTTTCAGGGCAGGCATTACCTATAGAAGTTTCATTGTTTACCACCACAGAACAAAGTTAATTTATCATAATTGTGTTTGCATATTTATTCCAAGAAATTCTATTACCTTTTTTCATCTGCTTACTCAGCGGTCTCTTCGTTTCTTCCATAAGTAGGAGGTAATGGCTAGTAAACCGACAGATGACCAATGGATGTGGGTGTTGAAACATTGGAAATCATAAATTCCCCATGGGTTTACCAGAAAGTCATAATTCCCCTCATTGGTTTTTGAGTGCTTTACAGTATTACATTTGTAAAATGATTACTATTACATTTTAAAAAGAAAAATTCCAACTTTTCATAGTAAATTTTCCACTTGCGGTTGATGGTACTCATTTGACAGAATCCTACAAAGTTGAAAATGCTTTTGCTAAGAATTTTCAATCAGTCCACAATACCCCTCCCTTGTACAGTCTTCTGAATTTTTATCATTAGCCCCCTACTTCCGAATCACACATTTGTAAAGCCCTTAGATGTCGAAGACCATCTAAATCTGTCGGACTTGATGACATCCCTAGCTTCGTTATGAAGGGTCTAACACAGCGTTATTTTCCTACTGTATGGAAACAGGCAGCAGTTGTTCCTATTTTTAAAAATGGTAACACTGCTTCTGTTAGTAACTACCAACCCATTTCTATTCAAAAAGACTTTTCCAAACTATTTGAACTTGTTATTCACATTATTTAGAGTCTAATTTAAATCCGTCAGCACGGTTTTACAAAATCGAAACCTATCATAATCAATCTGTTAACTTACCTAGACTTTATTATCCCATTAGCTGGCTCCCAGGGGCAAGCTGATGTCATTTAATTTGATCTTAGCAATACTTCTGATCTTGTCCTTCATACCATGTAACTCCAAAAGCTCAGGGCTTTTGGACTTTCTGGTGGTTATGTAAACTGGTTTTGTAGTTTCTTAACCAACAGACAACCTCAACAGAGGCACAATCAAGGTTCCTCCATTACACCATCACCGCGTAATACGATATACAAATTGTACAGCATTAAACACGACACTTTTCTGAGCCCTTAACACAAACATTCGCAATTGCTATTTTCTTCAATGCCCACTGATTTCTCCGATCCACATATAAATCATTTTCACCCAGCAAAATCAAGAAACAAACTTCACATTGCAAACTAAGTCTTGTGCACACATGACCGGAAGTATCGTCTCTGAGACATGCTCGCAAAACTAACGAGCAGAAATTACCACAAGAACATTTACCTTACCGACTAAGTTATCCGGAGTTCGTGCTATTACGAGGATGCAACCACTTGCAGTTTTCGAACGTGTCTGCTGGCAGCTGACTTTTAGATCGGGCATGCGTAATCCGTCTTAGAACGGAAGCTCAGTGATATCACGCCGTTTTGGACCCATTGTATGGGCTTTCCGAGAAATTGCACTGCTCTGGGCTTTTGGATGCGTCTTGAACCTTGACAAAGATAACCGTGTTCTTCGAGACGTTGATAACAATCCTCCAATCTGCCGATGTAGGCCTCCAGATAACCGACGAGAAGCGATGAACTAGGGCAGGGGTGGCAAACCCGCGGCCCGCCTTGAACATCTTTCCGGCCCGCGAGTTAGACAAATACAACAAAATTTTTGAAATATATTCATCTCCCTTTCATGTTAAAATCGAGTCGGCCCCAGAATATCTCCAAATGGAACTGGTTGACTTACAGTGCAATATTGAATTAAAACACATTTTTGAAACATCAGAATCAAAAATAGATTTTTATAACACTTACGTCACAAAAGAGAAATGAGAAACATGATCTTGAGGTGGTTATATTATCCAGTCTTACTTGAAGCACTTGTGTGTGTGAAAGCAGAATGTAGGTCAGTATCAGCTGATCATATTTATATATTTTTTATATTTAATTTTTAGTGCTATATATTTCTTTACAATGTACGCTTAGTATCATTATTATTATATTATCTATGTTTACATGTAAGAATAATAGTAAACACAATAATAATAAATCATTATGTTTCAATTTTTCACTCCAAAAAAATGTCTATAGTGTATCTAAATCTAATATGGGGATATATAATTTTATATGTGGCCCGCGGAGTTATGATGCATTTCCAAAGTGGCCCGAAAGATCGTTTGGGTTGGCCACCCCTGAACTAGGGGATGTGGCCACGAGAGCCGTGTCATCCGCGTATTATCGTGCTCCACGGTAGATGTCTCTGGACCCTGTTTGGGCCCGGAGCCTTGCCAACCTTGAGTCTCTTGATGGCATTAATGACCTCTGAGGGACTGTTTAATTTCGCATACTCGTATGCACGCATCGCCTCGTGAAGGAATCGATTGAAATCTGGTACCTGGTGACGAACATGTTACCTAATTGGAAAGCTAGGCTAAAAATAGCGAGCACGTCACTCCTATTGGCTAACGTACAGCCAATAATACGGAATTGGGTCAGGTATACGGGCAGGATCTCCTACAACTTCGGTACCCTGTGGATGAGAACGAAGATGGCTCTCGAAACGTTCGTGTTTTCTCCATTAAACCACCTTACGTGGCTGGTAGCCCGAGAAGAATTCTTTACGCTTAGTCGCTGTGAAAGCACCAATTGTGCCAATCAATTGATTATTTTACCCATAAAACTTTTATTTCAATAAATCAATCACAGAAATTTAGGTAGAAGATATAATTTTTGTTGTAGTCACAGATACCAACATCGTGATCATAATTTCAAATATAAACTTCAACACAACGTCCATCACACATTTGTAGAAGATGATTTTCCTGCTTTGCCGAGATTACCGAGAGTTGGGGTCCTTTCCTCGTGGGCCTCGGCATGGACTCAGGTTTTGTGTCTGACCTTGAGGCTGAAAATTAAACACGTGATAGTAATATCCCTCCAGTCGTTCTCAAGTTTACTCATTCAGATGGGAGGACAGACCGACATAACAGATATGTCAGACATGGCAACGAGAGTAACTAACACCAACTCATACCAACCTAACCGAACCTAAAAGTCCCTTTTTGTTCTTTATATGTACTGATTACTTCTACACGTCTGCCTATTGGCAACTTAATTTTCAATCAGGAATTTATTTTATCTTTTACAGATGATAAACCAAGCACACTGAGCTTTGACAATCATAAAATATCACTCGACCTCAAATCTGGTGTCCTAAAGTTTGGAGAAATTTAATACTTCAAAAAGGGAAAATATATTACGCAAAATTTCAGGACATATTGAATGAGGATCGTGGAATGTTGATCTGTGTATGAGAATATAAAATAAGCAAACAAACAACTATTAACAGAATTAAAAAGATACTGGTTCCATACGCGTTTCAACCTCAAAGAGGTCATCATCAGTGACAACAGGGATATCAATTCATTTAATCAAAATTGTTTAAAATTGATCTAAACATGGTTTAGAAAAAAATCATGAAGTTATTAATGTGTATGAGAAATTTATACAAAATGTTACTCGGTAAACCACAAAGGAAGAGACCACTTTCAAGGTCTAGATGTATATGACAGAATAATATCGAAATCGATATTGGAGAAACAGGAAGTGAACGTATGGATTAAAATTATTCAACCTAACCTAACCTAACCTAACCTAACCTAATCTAACCTAACTCAAAGTAACAAAGTTCAACTAAATCTGCCCCTAGCTTCTGAACACTGCACATTTTACATAAAATAAATGCTCGATGGTGACGAACTGAACTTGATTAAAGAGTCCGAAATATTCGCGTCTCTTACCTGATGTGCGGGGAAACGCCCATACAGTGACACTAGAGACACGAAGAGCACCATTCCTATCACTGAAGGGATGAAAGCTGTCCACTTGACAGACAAGGGGTAGTTCATGAAACGGGAATTCATTTGCATGTCATCTGCAACAGCAAATAAGATTATTTACGCGCATTCTGTAGTTATTCCAGACTTGATAATAAATCTTAAAAAAAGTTTCGTGCGGAATATTTTTATGTTTTGAGACATCATGGGGTTGACGGTATTTACCTACAAGGTCACACACGGAGAATCCACTCACCTTCGTAATAAGGCAGACCTGTTTCCGAGTTAACGTGCGTCCTACTCTCCCATGTCCAGTAAGACGTGTTCCGAGTATCCAGGAGCTCTCGGTCATTCACTGTACGAATCTTGTCATCCGGACCTGCCACATCACAGAAGAGGTGGTTTTTGATTTCCACAATATTTTATGTATGCTGTTTTAATTCGTAACAATTTCCCACGAATTTTCTTCACTTCTTTATAACTCAGTTTGAAGGCCAGAAATATTATTCTATAGTCTGCGCAGTAGTTTTTGCAGGTACACAGCCTGGGCCCGCCCGCCAGCTCCGCTAGCTTAGAATTTTCAAGGGGAAGGCTAGGAGCGAGTCACTGACTGCACGCCCAAACAAAAGAAATACACTGACCGTGCCACCTCAGGTACACAGACTAGGCCCGCCCGCCAGCTCCGCTAGCTTAGAATTTTCAAGGGGAAGGCTAGGAGCGAGTCACTGACTGCACGCCCAAACAAAAGAAATACACTGACCGTGCCACCTCAGGTACACAGACTAGGCCCGCCCGCCAGCTCCGCTACCTTCTCCACTACTGCGTCGACTATATATCGCGACTTGAGTTTATCACGAGACACACATAGAACATTATAGTAGCTTAAGTAAATACAGGCTTTAATATTAGAGTATGAACTGTCATAATGAGCCAAGGGTCTGGTCGTTGTTAACCATCGACGAGACTACGTAGCGTGACGACCCAGAAGACAGAAATATTCAAGTAGGGTTATGTTTCATGTTAACGTGTGTAAGTAAGTTATTTGTCATAAAATGCAAAGGTAATCCTGTACGTAAACAAAATGCTACGGAGATGTACGGGAGAGTGGAAGAAAGTTCCACGCTTTCTTAACGTCAGCACAAGATGAAAGTGACTGGGAGTTCCTGCTCTGACCACTTTGAGCTTGGGAGCGAGTCAATGTCGATGGTGTCATCAAATATACCAGTTCGGTCACAAGTGACTTACCTGTGTATTGCCCGAAGTCCTTCGGGTTGTAGAATATTTGATTCTTCCACATGTTGAGGTCCAGCAGCATCACGAGAACTATAATTCCATAGTTGAACCATTTTCCTGAACAGAATAAAAGTAACGGAGTTGTATTATCGACTTATCGACATAGTCAGCACCAGAGTTATGGCAGCCATTTTCGTCTGTCATTTTTTTTTTACTGTATGAACAAACTTTAAGAAAAACTTAAAATTACACGTTTTTGAAAAGACTGAAAAATGAAACGTAAAAAAAATTACAAATTTACCCACTGTTTTGTACACATTTCAAATATTTTCCCATAATTGATGAATTATAATTTTCCAAATTCTTTGAAGGCTCACTATGAAATTCATAAAACTGTAGAAGGAAGCAGTTTTGGTCTTTCTGAAGGCCCTACGTCCTTTCCCCAAATTCAACCCTGGCATCCACGTCATGGAGGAGGCTCTGGTTCACTCAAGCCAAGGTGTGACGCATTACGTCAAGGACGGTGTGGCACTGACAATGTTTCTAATGATCTCTTTGGGGCAGGGCACGAGGCAACATCCCATCATATCGATTCCATCCACCCTTCTGCGAGTGGTGACCGTTATATCGCAGAACTCACGGTAACAAAACGGCGGCTAACAGTATATTAATAATTACGTTACGTCAGGAGCAACTCGTAGAGACTCTGAAATAGGGAGACACCTTTTGACAAGAGCAGCAAATTACCATTATCATCTCTCACATCCCTTACCAAGTTAGTTATATGCTTTAAATTTATTTATGCGTATGTACCAATTTTTAATACTTTTAACGTTGAATAACGTTTATAAAATCATACACTCGACGGAAACTGTAAGATGTAAGGTAACTCTAGTGTGTAACTTTTTCAAACGCCAATAACTCGAGACCTATAAACCTATATGTAAATTAAAGAGTAAATAAAGACCTTTTTCTACAAGATGTTTACTTTATTCTATAAATTGTTAAAATAATTACCCAAAACGTATTAACTATACCCTCGTTCCTTAAATTCAACCGCTTGCCACGTCTAAAGTGTAAAAGTTAGATTCGGACATATTAAGAGTTAAATACGTAAATAAACACGAGCTTTTCAAATTTGCAAACAGATTTCAGCTAACTCTTACGGTTTAGGAGTTCTGGACATTTATTTGATAACAAAGAACTGTCCTAGAGTGAGTCGAGTACATGACGCAACACATAGACAAGATGGCGGCGGATGACGTCACGTATAGATAAGACGTAAAAGTTTACATTAATGTGTAAATAAAATTTTATTTCTGTACAGATATACTTCTACAGTTAAACGTTATTCAACGTTAACTGTCTGTTTAGATAAATTCCGCTGCTTGTATTCCATTACTGCATTACACAGCTTTCATTAATTTAAAGTGAGGTTAGGTCAGCTTCATTCTAGTTGTATATTCTTGAAAGTGGGGAAATGTTGAGACCCGGATAACTTTAGTTTAATCCGGTTTCCTTTGGTAGGTTTCACTATAGGACTCACCCGTTATATCGACTTCAGCATACTTCCAATTAAGAGTTGCAACGCTGAAGCCAGGGAGGTTGACGTGAAGGGTTGTAGTGAAGTGGGGGAAATCCCAGTCCTGCATCACAATCAGCAGATCCATGACTAGGATGAAAGAAGCCAGGAACGCTCGGGAGACCTCTGCATGACACACGAACTTCGAATGAGTTCCAAGAACTTACGATTCCCACTTGAATATTTATCGGGAGGTTAACGACGTTTATAAAACGATAATCATACAACTCGGCGATCAACATCTCTGTGTAAGTCCCACTAATATAGGGCAGTATTACTTCTACATTATAATTTTGCTATCTGTAATTTTTAACAACAAATCTTTTCATATATTATGTATATATTAAATCTTGTCCGTCTAATCACAATAAATTCTTATTAAAATATTTAAAATATTAAATGATGTTCTTTATCGAAATATTCGATTTACATTAGACCATCATCTTTCATGTTTCAGTTCCTAATATATACTTATTATATCACAATATGACGCGACTTTACCATCTTAAATCTTTTCATATAAAATACATGATGGAAAGTTTGTAAACTTCTACCAGACTACACGGCGCAACAACCCAGAATACAGACATCTTCAAAGACCATTTTCGTGGTTTACTGAAACAGTTTTCCATTTTCTGATGACATCTGCCGAGTACTTTTATTTTAATATTTTATCCTTTCACGGCGTACTTTTTATAACTTTTACGATGCATAAAAATGAATATCTTCTCGATTTTTAGCGCTTAAAACCCGGTCCCCTTGTCATCATATTATCACAGCATTTCACCTAATATTTATTTCGTATCGATCTCGTCCGGTTAGTAGGCGCGTTCCTATGGCAACAGGTTGTTTTGCTAAGATCGTCCCAGTTTCCGCTGGTAGTAGGAGCTTCGACGTGTTTTTCATCATTAAGTATAACTTATTGTCAGGAAGTTGAAGTTTCCATATATGGTGGTTAGTTGTAGTCACGGAGACCCACAAGGGGTGGTGCTCCAGCAAGGTCAAATTTGGGGATAACAACCCTTCGCCATAAGAACAGCTTCTTGTAGGACTCAAACATTGGATCTTAAACTTCCAGGAATATTTGGAGCGCACGGTTGATCTGTCTTTCTGATTTACGAATCTGTATCAGGGGCTAATATTTCTAAAGAAAATGACGAGATAAATATGTTACTCTCGACTAAAAGAACAATACGTGAGAAATCTTTGTATTAATGATTTCTAAACGTGTTCGTTCCACTTTCGTTTATAAATAAATTCCCAAATTTCTTTTTAAAATTGAAAATCCAGGAAAATTACGCGTCTTGTAAATATTTAGTTCAGCCAATAATCCGAAATAAATTTCCTTGGTAATTGTTATCTTCTTGTAAAGGAAGGACACACGAAAGTATCCTGATTCTTGATTCATAAATGTATTAAGATAACAAAACGACTTAAATTTTGAAACATCCCGAAATTGACGAATAACATCGCAAATAATATAAATTATTAAAAATAATCACACCAAAACTGGGTTCGTAGTTGTTACATCTAATGATGGAGAACAAGCCTGAAAACACGTCGTATCATAAATTAACGAGATAAAATACATAATCTCAAGATAAATGTTATTTATTTTAAAGAATATTTGCGTCAGGACTTACGACAATAACAAAATATATTTCTAAGATAGTGTAGCTGCGTCATATTGTGATTTATTAAATTAAAATTAAATTATTTGATTATTCCGTCAAATCACAATGTATTTAAAATAAGATAATTAAAATATCATTCTGTGTTCCATATCGAATAATTCCAATTGTAAATCGATTATTCGATATGGAACACAGAATGATATTTTAATTATCTTATTTTAAATACATTGTGATTTGACGGAATAACCAAATAATTTAATTTTAAAATATATTTCGTTTGCTACAGTTTTACGAGAATCCGTGAAATGTCTTAAGGCCCTTACCTGTCGTTGCAACGAAGTCTCTGTTTAATTTGTCCCAAGAGATCCAATCGCTGACGATGAGCGTCACAACGACAGAGGTCGCCACGACGGAGCCCACCCAAAATATGAAGATACGGGGAATGTTTGAACGGCGCCAAATCTGACGGAAGTAAGACGCCCACTGGGGGTACAGGTTGTCCTGTAGCATCATGTCGGTCACCACGAGCGCCGTGATCAGGTCTCCCAACCACGTGCCACAGGCTGCAGCCTTCATGACGCTGAGGGCAAGTAATCGACAATCACAGGGCTTTATTATTTAGTGTTCTGTCTGACGACAGGTCCATATGAACAGGATCCTTCCATCCTTTTCTCGGACTGGGACCTGTTCATATACGTTCTTGGCAGATGATCCAGAAGTGGTTTGCCATTGCCTGCTTCTGTGTGTGAATGGAGTAATTGTTGGGATGCCACGGAGGAAAACTCCGTGTTGCCTAGACCACGGCCTTGCCCAACACAAGTTATAATTTCGGGCACCGCCGGGAATCGAACCCGAGATCCCCAGGATTACAAGGCCAGCGTTCTAACCGCTAGACCACCGTGGCTATGTTATATCTTTACGAACAACTAAATGAATAGATTCTCCTAACATTCTCACGTAAAGACGAAATCAGTTTCGGAAACGCTGAGTTCTTTTTAGAGTAAGAAACGTCAAGAGAGTTTTTGGGTTAATTAATACGTTTTCTGTCCCTAACTTTAGTAAAGCAAAGTGCATAAGGTGTGCAACACAGTGAACATTTATGCATACATTTGTACCTGGCGTTGGTGACACCCATGTGACTGGTGATTTGGTACAGAGGGTTGTCGTACCAGACCAAGAGGAGTAGATTGTAGGCGTGAGAGAACACGTACAGCGACACGATGACGGTGAAGAACATAGTCATCCAAGAGCCCTACAACAACCACCACGACCAGTGAGGGACCACGTATTTCTTACAGGCATTTCTTAAAGTGGGGTGTCGTTCTGGAGTTTAAATATAAGCGTGTAGGTACGACAAGGAATTTAGACGCCGTCTTAACATTCGCTAATGTAACAAGTTAAACCACGGAAACCTGAGTCAAAAGTAATAAAAATATATTTAAGAACCAAGGTAAAAACTTTAAAGAATTTTTAAAACCTATTTAAATTTGTAGAAATGATTTAACGCGGGTTCCGTGTTTTTTTAAAAAAAACATATTTATTTCGTATTATATTCACTTTCGTGTTCACGTAAAAGCCACTCGCGTTATCGGAGACGATGATAATCACCAGACGTGAGGCCTTACACCCGTGAGGACTGGTAAGGACACAATCTTCAACCTCCGAGAACCTCAAATTTTACTCAGGTCCCCGATGGTTCGATAACCATCGAGCTATGAAGGCCACAGGGGAGGAGATAGCTGAAAGCTTTACTAACGTCGGTGTCAGACGGACAGAAGTGACCAGCTACACGTTTCGGCTGATTTATCCTCAGATAAAGGACTTTGGTACCTTTTTGACAGCAGCCCAGGTGGGCCCCAAAGTCGATATTCATATGTCGAGAAAATAAATCCCTGCCCATGGCAGAAATCGACCCCACGTTGTCCAGTTCTTATCCAGTCACTCCATTCACTAAGATGTATCAGCTTATCCTTTCTGAATATGTTCATTACTTAATATATTCGCGGAGTAAGACAAAATATTTTTACCTCATTGGTGGGATTTAACGAAAACGGTGTTAAATGTGAGTGTTCAGGTTCTGACGGCCACAGATACGTATTAAACTGTCTTCTGGGACGTTGATCCGTGAATTCTGATAAAAGTCTGTTAATGTTTCAGAGATGATTACTGCTTCCATCATCAGGGCATGAGTTATTGCCCTGATGATGGTAGCAGCAAACACCTCTGAAACGTCTACAAACTTTTATCAGAATTCACTGAGCAGTCTCAGAAGACATAAATCATTTAGCCATCGAATATCTTGACTTCGTAAAAGACGTAAGATTTCTTAATTAGATGAGCGACTATTAGCTTATCAGGGATGATTCTGCTGTTGGGGTTCGATGTGCGGGCTCCGTCCATCAGATCGGGTGCCGTGCCCTCCGACACTTGAACGAGATTATCACTAAAATACTGAGGTTACAAAGAAAGACTGACCAAAGATGTTGGTACCTGATCGTCGCGAAACATCTTGAGCCGAAGAAGCCTGCCGCAGAGGTAGCCGTGGATGATCAGTTTTCCCAGCACCATTCCGCACAAGATCGCCAGGAGCCACATCAAAACCTACAAAAATTCTCACATCAAACGTTGGACCGCAACGTCGCCAACCGGGCGTTGAACTCACCGCTCGTCGAGTAGAACAGAATGAAAGAGGTGCGATCGGAAAGTTTCAAGACTGCGCGTATAAAAACCCGTACACTTATCTCAGGTATTAAATTCATCCATC